TCTCTAAAGTACTCAAGAGCAATGGTGTCTCTCTGGAGACTAAGGTCCGCCTGATACAAGCTATGGTCTTTGCAATCACTTGTTATGCATCAGACAGTTGGCCAATGACTAGGAAGGACAGAAGGAGAAATGATGCCTTTGAGCTGTGGTGCTGGAGAAGAGTATTGAATGTACCGTGGACTGCCAAGAAAACAAACAGATTCATCCTTGAGAGGGTTAAACCAAGCTACTCCTTGGAGGCAAGGATTCTGGGGCTTTGTCTGACATACTTTGGGCATGTTGCAAGGAGAGACAGGCCCCTGGAGAGGGACATCATGCTTGGGAGGGTGGAAGGACAGCGCAGGAGGGAAAGACCCTCTATGAGATGGATTGATTCAGTGACTGGGGTAATTGGGATGGGTTGTGTCAGAGACAGTGTGATTGACACAGTATAGAGCAGGGTTTAGGGCTGTTGTACATAGGGTCGCTATGAGTCGCAAAGGACTCGACGGCACATAACAACAACAACAACAACAGAATGAACTTGGGGGGAGGGATTGAATAACAATGAAAGAATTATTATTACATTTTTACTTTTCAAAAAGAAAAGTGAATGGGGGGAGGGGTGGGCAGGGAGAAAAGTGCAACAAGGAATGAATGGAAATCCAAAGTCACTGTAAACTTTCATTAAAATAAATTAAAAAAAGAGAGAAACAAGGTAGGAGATATCTCACTCCTTGATTTCAAATCCTACTATACTGTCATGCTGGTCAAGACAGCATCGTACTGGTACAATGACAGACACATTGATGAATAGAATTGAGAACCCTGAAATCAGACCATCTACCTATGGTTAACTGATTTTTGGCAAGGAGATGAAATCAGTTAATTGGGAAAATGACAGCCTCCTTAACAAACAGTGTCAGCAAAACTGGAAAACTATCTGCAGAAAACTCAAGCAAGATCCATATCACATACCATACACAAAAACAAACTCAAATGGATCAAGGACCTAAGACTATAACCAAGGACTATAAACTTCATTAGAGAAAAGCTTGGGAGAACTCTAGAAGCCCTGATCCACAATATGAACAGTCTTCCAAGCACACTGAAAAAACCTACAGCCAGAAGAGGATAAAATAGAGGAATGGGACCTTCCAAGAATCAAATCCCTACGCACATCCAAAAATTTCTCCAAAAAAGGTAAAAAGGGAAACCACAGACTGGGAAAAAAGATTTGGCAATGACATTTCTGATAAGGGACTTATTGCTAAAATTTATAGAATACTCCAGCACCAAAACAAGATAAAGGTAAGGAACCCAATCACAAAATAGTCACAGGATATGAACAGACAATTCACCAAAGAAGACATTCAGATGGTGAAGAAGTGTCTGAAATCCCTAGCTCTAAGAGTCGTAAATCAAAACAACTGAGATATCATTTCATCTCAGTAACAATAGCCAAGTTCAGCAGAGCAGCAAACAACAAATACTTGCAGTTACAGAGAAACTGGAATGCTTATTCACTGTTTGTTGGAGTGTAAAAGTATGCAGCCACTCTGGACAGCAGTATGGTGCTTTCTCAAAAAGTTAGAAATAGAAATACCACTTTGACCCAGCAATTCTACTACGGAGAATATACCCTAAAGAAATCAGCACTACCACCCAAACCGATATATATGCACACCTATGTTTATTGCTACATTATTCACAATAGCAAAGAGTTGGAAACAACCTAAATGCCCATCAACAAATGAATGGATAGAGAAGATGTGGAATACTATGTAGCAGTGAAAAACAAGGAACTCATGACATATTATACAAATTGGGTGGCCCTGGAGGACATTATGCTGATTAAACTATCTCAGTCACAAATGGACAAATACTGTATAATGCCACAGTTATAAAAAGACTGACATGAGGGTTGAGGGAAAACTAAGAAAAGAGAGGATAAATAATGTACACTGCATTGAAACAGAGGAGGGAAAGAACTATTTAATAGGAATATATTATTACATATTATTTGTATGACAACAGTCCAGAATAAAGAGAAAAATGAACTGTGGGTGAGGTGGGTAGGGAGGAAAATGTGCAACAATGAATGAATGGAAATCCAAGTTCTCTATAATATTTATTTAAAATCTCACAATAAAAAAAAATAAAAAATAAGAAGAAACCATGGCACCAGATATCATTGTTGATGTCAGATAGATCCTGGCTGAAAGCAAAGAATACCAGAATGCCTATTTGTGCTTATTGACTATGCAAGGCACTTGACGGTGTGGATCATAATAAATCATGGCTAACATTGAGATGGACGGCACATAACAACAACAACATTGAGAAGAATGGGAATACCAGAACACTTAATTTTGCTTATGTGAAACATATACCTACACCAAGAGGCTGTCATGCAGACAGAGCAAGGGAACACTGTTGTGTTGTTGTTATGTGCCCTCGTGCTGCTTGCAACAGCCCTGAAACCTGCTCTATCATGTGCCAGCTTTACTGTCTCTGACACACCTATCCTCATTACTTGAGTCACTGTATCAATCCATCTCATTGATGGTCTCCTTCTCTTTCTCTGTCCCTTCACCCTTCCAAGCATGATGTCCCTCTCCAAGGACTGGTCTCTCTTGCAACATGCCTAAACTATGTCTGACGAAGCCTCAGAATCCTTGCCTCCAAGGAGCAGTCTGGTTTCACACTCTCTAGGAAAAACCTGTTTGTTCTCCTGGCAGTCCATGGTATATTCAATACTCTTCTCCAGCACCACAGCTCAAAGGCATCATTTATTTTTCTATTATCCTTACTCATTGTCCAGCTCTCTGATGCATAGCAAGCAATTGTGAAGACTATGGCCTGGATCAGGTACAACTTAGTCTCCAGATTGACATGTTTGCTCTTCAGTATTCTGGAGAAGTCCCTGACAGCTGACTTTTCTAATGCAATTTGTCTCCTGATTTCCTGGCTGCTGGTACCAAGAGTGTTGATTGTGGAGCCAATCAAACTAAAGCTGTTAACAGTTCAAAGTATGTCAGACGAAGCCTCAGAATCCTTGCCTTCAAGGAACAGCCCGGTTTAACCCTCTCCAGGATGAATCTGTTTGTTTTCTTAGCATTCCATGGTACATTCAACACTCTTCTCCAGCACCACAGCTCAAAGGCATCAATTCTCCTTCTGTCCTCCCTAGTCATTGTCCAACTCTCTTGCAAAGACCATGACTTGTATCAGATGAAGCTTAGTCTCCAGAGAGACACCATTGTTCTTCAGAACTTTGGAGAGGCCCCTAACAGCAGACTTTCCCATCGCAATCGTCTTTTAATTTCCTGACTACTGGTGCCAAGACTGTTGACTGTGGAGCCAAGCAAACCAAAGCTGTGAACAATCTCGATCTCTTCACCATCCATCCTGATGCTGCCAATTGGTCCAGTGGTGAGAATCTTTGTCTTCTTGATATTGAGCCTCAATCCATATAACTGCCAACAATATTCATGGGCTCCTGTCTTAAAGTTGTAGTTTGGCTGAGTAGGAAACAACAAACACACTGAGCTCTCTTCAGAGATTCTACCCAGTAGAGAAAGATCTGTAAGATCTTCTGTGTTCAGAGGCAGTCCCTTAAGCAGAAGGGCCTTGATCTGCCATTGAGAAAGAGGTGGGATTGGACAAGGAGAGAAAAGGGAAAGAGAGGAAGTAAAAATGCTTTGTCTCTCATTTCCCTGGGGTTGGAACCAGCTGAAAACTGACGCTTCTCTAGAGGCAATTTCCCTCAGAAAACAGTTGGGGGAAAAAAAACCCAAAAACGAATGAGGAGTGGAAATACCTAAACCAAGGTAACTGCAGATGAAGGTATTTGTGTGAGAGTGATCAAATAAGTCATCTTAGATCGCTGTCAGAGGTCCTCTTAATTACCTGAAATCCAAAAATTTCTCCAACAACGTAAAAAAGGAAGCCACTGATTGGGGAAAAAATATTTGGAAATGACATGTCTGATAAGGGACTTATATCTAGAATTATAAAGTACTTGAGCACCACAACAAGATAAACAACCTAATTGCAAAATGGGTACAGGATATGAACACTTCACCAAAGGAGACATTCAGATGACGAACAAGCACATGAAGACATGTTCAACATTCCTAGCTCTAAGAGAGATATCATCTTAGCCCAGTAAGAATAGCAAAATTTAACAGAACAGCAAACAACAAATGCTGATGAGGTTGCAGAGAAACTGGAAACCTTATTCACAGTTGGTGGGAGTGTAAAATGGTACAAACCACTATGGAAGGCAGTGTGGCACTTTCTCAAAAAGTTGGAAATAGAGATACCATTTGACCAAGCAATTCCACTACTCACAATATACCTGATAGAACCCAGAACTGCCACTCAAGCAGATATATGCACACCCATGTTTATTGTGATTTGTTCACAGTAGTAAAGAGCTGGAAACAACCCAAATGCCCATCAACGAACGAATGGATAGAGAAGCTGTGGTATGTATATACACACAATGGAATACTGGGCTGCATTGAAAAACAAGGAACTCATGAATTATTATACAAAATGGATGGCCCTGGAGGACAATATGCTGAGTGAAACAGCTCAGTCACAAAAGGGCAAATGCTGCATAGTGCCACTTTTGTAAAGTGAGGCTGCCATTGGAGTTGGGGGAAACTATGAGGGGATAAATAATGTATACTGCATTGAAACAGATGAGGGAAGTGTTTAGGAGGAATATATGATTAGGTACTATTGTCATGACAAGAGTCCAGAATGAAAGCCGAACAGTGGAGTGGACTGAGGGGGGTGGTGTATAACAATGAAATAATATATTTTTTTAACTTTTCAAAGAGAAAAGCAAACTGGGGGAGGGAGGTGTGGGCAGGGAAGAAAGTGTGCAACAATGAATGAATGGAAATCCAAAGTCTCTGTAAACTTTCATTAAAATACAAAAAATTTTAAAAAATTGTCTATTGAGAAGCTAACACTTCTCAAAAATATTTATCATTTCTTTCTTACAGAGCAACATTTGAAATCTTTTTAAAATTCATAGAACACCTTGCCACCCAGTGCAGTCACTTGCTGAGGAGCCGCGATATGATAGATCACTTAACAAAGGAGAACTTCGATCTGATCGTAATAGAAGTTTTTGATTACTGTCCTTTGCTGATTACTGAGAAACTCGGGAAACCGTTTGTATCCATTCTTTCTTCGACATTTGGAGTTTTGGAGTTTGGGCTCCCCACCCCTGTGGCTTATGTTCCAGTATTCCGTTCTTTGTTGCCGGACCGCATGGACTTCTGGGGCCGAGTGAAGAACCTACTGCTGTTCTTAGATTTTCAGAGGAAGCAGTGGCAACTCCGCTCAACGTTTGACAACACCATTAGGGAGCATTTCCCAGAAGGCTCTAGACCAGTGTTATCTCATCTTCTAGGGAAAGCAGAGTTATGGTTTGTTAACTCTGACTTTGCCTTTGATTTTGCTCGGCCCCTACATCCTAATACCATTTATGTTGGAGGCTTAATGGCCAAACCCGTTAAACCAATACCACAGGTAAGTAAAACCTTAGCTTTTCAATTTGTCATGCAGAGGCCGCTGTGCAGAGTTAGTGGCTGCCTCCTGCTAGTGGGAACTGAGCTTAAATTGAGGAGAGTAAGGCTCCCAGGGGACTGATGAAAAATGGTACCCACTATGTTGCACTGGCTCTTGATACAGAGAATACTAACCAGGCCCATTATAATTGCAAATCACAGATTTTATTGAAGCTCCGAAGTGCAAATCCTATATATGATTTCACATTAAAAAAAAACACCCCAAAGAAACAAATAAAAATCCTAAACTAAGGAATTAAAGGCATTGAAAATCTTAACAACTGATTAAGCATTGTTGTTGTTATGTGCCATTAAATTTCCTGAGACTCATGGTCAACCTATGAACAACAGCTTTGAACCCTGCTCTCTCTATCCTGAGCCAACTTTATTGCCTCTGACACACCTATTTTCATTACACCAGTCACTGAGTCAATCCATCTCATCAAGGGTCTTCCTCTCTTGTGCTGTCTCTCCACCCTCCCAGGCATGATGTCCCTCTCCAAGGACTGATCCTTCCTTCCAACATGCCCAGAGTATGTCACATGGAGCTTTGGAATCCTTGCCTCCAAGGAGCAGCCTGGTTTTGTCCTCTCCAGCAGTTCCCCTAGCAGTCCATGGTATTTTCAATAGTCTTCTCCAGCACCACAGCTCAAAGACATCAATTCTTCTTTTATCATCCCTAGTCATTGTCTTGCTTTCTGATACATAGCAAATAATTGCAAAGACCATGGCCTGGATTAGGTGCACCTTAGTCTCCAGACTGACATTGTTGCTCTTCAGTACTCTGGAGATGTCCTGATAACAAAGTGTTCAAATGCAATTCATCTTTTGATTTCCTGGCTGCTGCTACCAAGAGTTAATTGTGTAACCAAGCAAACTAAAATGATTTTATTTTGCAACTAACCATATCATAACTATTACTCAATACAAGCAAAAACACTCACTCTAATAGACCTAGTGGTAAGAAACTGTGCTGCAATCCCAAAGGTATGCAGTTTGAAACTACCAGATGTTCTGTGGGAGAAGGATGGGCAGTCTCCTCTTGTGTAATTTAGTGCCTACAAAACAACAGCTGGAGGGTCATGTATGGGTAGGTTCTGACTTGATGTCACACAACAACAATGGACAGTTTGCCACAAAATCCAGCACAGCATGCAAAGAGCAAAGGACTGCAGACAGCAAACGATCTTTGTCCTTCAGTTGTTTCCGTTTTTGCAGCCTTGAGAGTTCAGTTTAAATGTCATTCTGTGCAAGGTGTTTTCCCAGTCAGACCCTTTCAGAAGCAGGTGTAACCAATCAGAATTGAGAGCTCCATCTCTAGATTGACACTCGAGTGTCCAGGCCTAATATAACATCTTCTATTAACATATTAAGTTTCTGGGTCTGATTCAGCATCTTCTGGTTAGCATAGGTTGGGTGTTACCAGAGTCCAGTGTTTTACAAGCTCTTCTCTTAGCCTTATCTGTCTTACACACCATTACTTATAAACTCCATTCTATATTTCTTACAAAATGCTCTTTTTTTTGGCTGGACATTGTTTTATTACCTTTTCAAAGTCTTCTTTTGTAATGGGTTTGTTCAGGTGTTCAATTTCAGTTGGTGTTAGTTTAAGTAGGTTGTGAATTTCTGTGTTTGTCCATTTCCTCTAGGTTTTCATATTTGTTTGAGTATAATTTTTCATAATATTCCAATGTTAGCTTTTTAATTCTAGTTGGTTCTGTTGTGATGTTGCCCATTTCATCTCTTATTCGGATTATTTTTGGTTTTTCCTTCTTTTCCTTTGTTAGTTTTTCTAGTAGTTTGTCAATTTTACTGAACTTTTCAAAGAACCAACTGCTTGTTTTGTTGATGGTTTCAATTGTTTTTTGGTTTCCTATTTCATTTATTTCTGCTCTAATTTTAATAATTTCAGTTTTTTAGAGGGTGTCAGGTTTTCTTGCTGTTCTTTTTCAATTTGTTTGAGATGTTGGGTTAGAGAGTCAATAGTCATATTTTCCTGCATTTTGATATGTTTGCTTATTGCTATAAATTGGCCTCTTATTACTGCTTTGGCTGTTTCCCAGAGGTCTAACAATATGCTCTTAATATGTAGCTTTACAAGCTTTGTTCTGTGTTTCTTAGCATCATGACACCATACACTTCTCTGTCATTTAACCTATTACTTTCTAGCCAAACTTAACAGAACAAGCATAGTCACTATGATACAGCAAACTTACATTCCTTTCTTAACATAATTTGTGCTAACTTCAATTCTCAATATATTTCAACAGACTTGTACTCTTAATACTGATGCCTAGGCCCTGTCAGTGAAAGCTGCCCAGGCATCCAGGTTTTAGAACCACAGCCCTAGAAGTTTTCAAAAGCAAGGAGAGCTAAGATCAATTCGCTACCTTTTGCCTACCAGCACTTTCTCCCCTCATGTCCTCTACTGAACCTGATGTTGTTGCTGTTGTTGTTGTTAAGTGCTGTTGAGTTGTAGGTAACTATAGCTACCCTATGAACGAAAGACCTGAACACTTGGATAACTTTCATCATTTTTGCAAGTTTATAGAGTTTCAGGAGGCAAGCTATTTTGGAAGTAGAGACCTGGATCAGACACACCTTAGTCCTTAAACTGACATCGTTAGGCCTCAATAATTTGGAGAGGTCCCTGACTGCAGACTTATCCAGTACAGGATGTCTTTTGATCACTTCACTCCTGGTATTAAGTCTATTGATTGTGGATCCAAGTAAGATGAAGTTGTTGATAATCTCAATCCTTTTTCTGTCCATCCTGATGCTGTCTGTCCAGTGGTGAGGATTTTTGTTTCTTGGCATTGTTGTTGTGTTATTAAGTGCCATCAAGTTGTAGACCACTCATAGCAACCCTATGAACAAAAGACCTGAACACGTATAACTTTGGTCATATCTCCAAGTTCATAGAGTTTCCAGTGGCAAGTCATTTTGGAAGTGGATGACACTCCTGCTTCCAGGCTTGATTTACTCAGGAAGCTCCACTAAACACTGTCCACCATGGGTAACCATTATCTCATTTGGCACATCAGTGTCACAATGTTTAGCATCAGAGTGGCATCCATTTCCTGAATAACATGCCTCCAGAAACTCTATGAACTTTGTTAAATGTCAATAGTTGTAGAGGAGCTTCAACCCTTTTGTTCATAGGGTAGCTATGAATCATGCTCTACTTGAAGACAATCAACAACAACCACAACAACAACAACCATGAGTTACCTCTATACAACAAATGGACAGACCAGTGCTAGACCATTTAGAAGAATGTTTGAACATAAACAATTAAAAGCAGGCCTGAGGACCGCAGATTAAAATCACCCACTTTTGGCTTGGTAGCATAGTAGCATAACTTGGTATTCACTAGGCCAACAGAGCTCTCTCTGTGTTGTTGTTGTTGTTGTTAAGTGTCATCGAGTCATAGAAGACTCATAGTGACCCTTTGAACGAAAGACTTGTATAACTTTCATCTTTTCTCCAAGTTTATAGAGTTTCCGGAGGCAAGCTATTTCGGAAGTGCATTGTTGTTGTTGTTATGTGCC